TTCCGAGACATTGTTCTTTTATTTGCATCATAGGGATCTTTACTTTTTCTCTCAGTTGAGTAGAATTATCTTTTCCTTGATGTGAAACTCGTTGTGATTCTTGAATGGGACTTGGGGTTTTGTGGGTCATTCGATGTTGTGTAGTTTTATTTTCGATGACTTTAATCTCCTGTTGACATTGATCTGATTGCTTGACGGACATTTCCTGTCGCGGTATTAGCGACGTCTCTGAGTGTACTTGATCGTGAGGTATGGAAAGTAACGATGTTCTTACTAATTTAGTCGATGGTCTCCTAAGTTGTTCTTCTTGAAGCGGTGGATTTCGTTGTGAATGTGTCTCTTGCACCTGTGTATATTCTTCAGTAGTTGTAACATGTTGAAGTCTTTGTGGTGGTGGTATTTGAAACATCGGTTTATCTTGTATGACTTGGACTAGGTTAATTCTTTCTAGATTTCTTTTGTTTGGCGTCTCGCGTTGCCGTTTTTGCTGTAGTTGTTCGACATGCTGTTGAACTGGTAAAACTCGTTGATCTTGTCTGACTGACTGTTGCTTAGGTATTTCTGGAGTTTTATTGACAGGTTTTGGATTTTGCATTCGCTGTAATTCTTCACTTTGCACTTGTTGTATCTCTTGAATTTGTATGAGTTCCTGTTGGTGTAAATCATACACTTCTGGGGTTTCTTTGCTTGGTTCTGGATCTTGCGATGGTACGAGACATTTGCATGACATTTGCTCTAAATAATTTTTACATTGCTTGTGCTGTGTTATTATGCTTGGCTTAGGTAATAATTCTGTTGATGGATTGGTAATTCTAGTTCTTACTGCTGTTGTTTGCTTTGCCGTCGGTCGGTTCTGTTGCTTGTTCAAGATAGGTGGCTCTGATTTATGATGCTGGATAAGTTTATCCCGTATTGGCGTAGTGGGTATGCATCTCATAGTATTTTGTAATGGCATCGTTTCTGAGCACTCCACTACGATGCACCTGCCCATAGTTTCTTTTCGTGTACCGTCCCGATTCACTTTATGCTGTTCTCTGCGAAGCTCTTCGAAGTCATCAGCAAGTATTTTTAATTCTTCTAAGCTGGAAAAATCTCGACGTCTGATAAAGATTCGGTAGTCTGCGCTCATGTTTTGATATATTCGCTCTAATTGCGAATCTGGATTTGTGCAGGCTCGTCGCATAAGATTTTTGATGTTAATTAAATATGTTTTGAAATTCTCATTGGGTTTTTGATGGCGGGATATTACATCATCCTGTAGGTTCTCTAAATATCTAGCAGAAATGAAAAATGATAAGAAATCGTACTTGAAACGTGTCCAAAGTGACCAACGACAATTGTTATTGCGAAACCATTCTAGTGCTTCGCCTTCGAGGAGTAGAGGCATTGTTCGAGGAATTTGATTTACATCGATGTTGTACATGTCTGCTAGTTCCTCTATGTGTTCGATGAAATCTAAGGTGTCCTTGCCACCGTGATATCTGAAGGACCATTTCTCTACGTATTCAATTGTCTGACGATAGGAGCACATTGGAGGATTTATTGAACTTTCTTCAGTCCCTGGTATTCCTCTTGATCCCACCGACATTGTTTCTTCTTACGATTTATGTTGTTATTTTATGTCATCTAGTTTTTTAGATTTTCTTTGCTTGACTACTATATTTCCATCACTATCTCAACGACCTTTGAATATTTTGGTCCCTGCTCAGGCGCCAACTGTAACGACCACTATTCCCGGTCGTTGCCTGTTTGCTGAGGTATGCTCAGTCTCACCAAAGTCGTCACAATAAATTTATAGATTGTGACCAAAATATTCAAAGTGCAGTGGTTTTACTTCTATATCTTTATTTATGTATTACTTTATTTCGATAGTTATAATTTTAAATTTATATTTAAAATAAGAAAATAAATTAACTTTAATTTTTACTTCAGAATTTTATAATTTTTGTTTTTAGATCTATATTTCTTATAGGGAAATAAATTAACTTTTATTTTTATTTCAAAATTTTATAAATTTTAAATTTGTATTCAATATAAAGAAGCAAATTAACTTTGGGGAAAAAAAAATATATATATAACCCAAAATTCATACGTAAAAAAAATAATTAGAGATGTCCCTTTTAGAGGTTTCAATGCTTGGATCTTCTGGATAGGTCTTCCTCCTTCAGGTCTCTGGCGTTATATTCTTCCGGAACTGTACCACCTGTCGTGTTCACTATAATTATACCTTCTTTAGGATATTATTTTAATTTAAAATATCCTTATGATTTTTAGAATTTATCTTGGTTACAGTCGGCGTGAAACCACCTGTCGTACCTCGATTTGGATATTTTTTTCATATAAAATATCCTTATTAATTTTAATAGTTATCTTAGTTACAGTCGGCGTGAAACCACCTGTCGTACTTTGATTTGGATATTTTTTCATATAAAATATCTTTATTAATTTTAATAGTTATCTTAGTTAAAATATCCTTATGATTTTTAGAATTTATCTTGGTTACAGTCGGCGTGAAACCACCTGTCGTACCTTGATTTGGATATTTTTTTCATATAAAATATCTTTATTAATTTTAATAGTTATCTTAGTTACAGTCGGCGTGAAACCACCTGTCGTACTTTGATTTGGATATTTTTTCATATAAAATATCTTTATTAATTTTAATAGTTATCTTAGTTACAGTCGGCGTGAAACCACCTGTCGTACTTTGATTTGGATATTTTTTTTATATAAAATATCTTTATTATGCCTTTGTGCCTCTAGAGCTTAGTTGACTTGATCTTCCAAGGTGTATGTGCCTTTGAAGTAATATTGCAAGTGCTCGCATAAGTAAAATGCGCGTCTTATATACACACTCGACCGAGCTTTTGTGTAGCGTATCATTTTATTTACAGCTGATCTCACGTAATTCTTGTATATTTTTGCCGTTCTGATGTTCTATTTCATGTTTTGTGCGGTACTCAGCTTGGGTATTTATCTTCTCTTTAAGCTTCTCTTACGGCGAATATTTTGTTGTTTTCTTATGTTAACGCTGCTTTGTTTTGATTCTTACAAAACGTGTTTTAAAACTACATTCGGTCGGTGGTGGTTTTTTTTTTTTTTTTATTTACTCTTTGTTTGTTACGATAAATAAAATATTAAAAGTGCAAATATTTGATGAATATTTACAACATAAAAACAAGAAATATAATTAACAAATAAATAAGGTGAGTTTATTATTAATTTATTTAATTATATTTTTATATTTCACTTCAATATCATTTCAGCTTTGTTTGAAGTGTTATTAAGGCTTGTAAGCGGTTTAGGTTTTGGTAAATTGTTTTGATTAAATATTTTAAATATCAATTAATCTATTTAATTCCAGATATTTGCAACATTTACTACCAGTGAGTCTACTTTTTCCAAGTTTGAACATAACCATATAAAAAGTGTGTCGTTTTATAAAAAACTGTGTTGTGTTGATGTGTTTTAGTTCGTGTTGTTATTGTTTTTAGTGCATGTTTATGTAGCGTTTATGTAGGTGGAAATTTAGTGTAAATTTCCATCCTTACATAGTCTACAGTCTAATCCAGTAAGGATAAGTCTACATTTCTGATTACCGACACATTGAACTTGTAAAGCAAATTATGCGTTATATGCACAAAAACAAGACTACGGTTCACGTATATATCTAATATTATAATCTGAGAATACTTCAACGATTTTCACTATTACTATATCTTTTAATTATATGACACACATAGTTATATTATAAAACGGGTCACTTTAATAACTAAGAAATTAATAACCGAAATCTTCACATTATCAGTGAAAGTAACTATGCACTATGAATTAACCTACTGTAATCAATAGAGTTTTTCAGTTAAACTTGGTTCAAAAAAACAATCAAGGACAGTATGGAAATAAAAAGATCTGATGATAATGTCACCTATAAACAATTATATCAAGTTTCTGTGTAAGAGTACGTAATAAAAAACAAGTGAAAAAAGTTTTTAGATTTTGACTGCTAGATCAAATTTAATTCTAAATAAATTAAAACGCAATGCTATTATTATATATTTTTCACCTGTTGCAATGTAACACAAGTCAACATCGTCAACAAACCAAATAACCCATTATATGTAACTTTATTATAAAGAAAAATATTATTATGTATAATACCAAAAGTATTTGTAAGATAACTTATGCGATCAGGGACCGAAAATAACAGTTCTTTCAAAATTTTTAGTGAAAAAAGCAGCGACAAAAAGTTGTCTAAACTCATATTTAAGTATAGAGTTATCATTCTAACAACTTTTATCCTCAATATTATTAATATATTTTATATGTAATATATAAAAATTTTAAAATAAAACTAAAAAAATAATAATTAAATTTGCTTTATTTTTGTGCTTTTTATTTTTTCGCGCAAATGTAACTGTAGGGAATCACAAAAACAACTAATTTGTATGAAAATTGCATTTTATATTACGTTTTAAAAATATTCAGCAGAAATTTCCAGTTATTCATGACTTTCATATTTATGACGCAAAAGTAACAGTTATTAGTGCGTTTTAAAATAAAAAGCAGAATTTTTTCCTTTGCGCGAAAAAATAAAATGCACATAAAATAATTATTTTTGAGGAATGTAATATAAAGCAAATTTAATTATTATTTTTTGAGTTTTATTTTAAAATGCGAATGATAATAAAATGTGATTTTTTTTTTTATGATAACTATTACTGTCCTTGTATGCGATACGTTTATTAGTTACGTTTATTAATCAAAGATCAAATCTTCACCTAATCCATCAGAACAGTTTTCAGATGAAGTATTCAACAAGCGAACAATTGTTTACAAATATAAGAATAAAAATAATAACAGATATTAAAGGAAAAACTGAAATAAAAAGAATAACAATAATAAAATAAAAAGAATAAAAAGGATAACAGATATAAAAAGTATATTATATATTATCGAAAAATACCTAGAAGATGAAAAATTTGGCCTTCTGTATTTCTGGAAACAGCTTTCACATTTAATAAGGTTTGATCCGGAACCTTGGCCCACTAGTAAAATATTTTAGAACTTACTTGACCAACCGATTGCTCCGTAGCAAACATAAAAATAATTTTTCCTACTGTACACTTTCGATATATCATCACTCGTAAATTTGATTGTAACCACATTTGCATATGACACTGCAATGTCCACAATTAGAAATACAGAAGCAATATCAACAATGCAACCATGACCTTAACACTTGGACAATGTACCAACTGTTATCACTGATGAAACAAAATTCTCATCAAGAAACGCGTTGCCACCGCACAAATAAAGTAGCTTTAAGTTTGGTTAATTTAAAAACCAATTGTTACACATCATACCCCCTTAAATAGTCATGGGAATCTTGAAGCAATTCTGATGAATATGTTGATTCGTTATATTTTAATTAATCGATATAAGCATTGTAAGTATTATAAGTACTATAATTATTTACAAGTATTTTTATATTGATTTAATACATAAAAAATATTTATTGTTTTTTATTATATCAGTTCTTTCTAAATTCTTCTACTATCTGTAGAGTCTGCAATTTAATAGATTTAAAAATGCTGCATCATCTTTTTTTGTATATGTTAATAATTGAAAAAAAACTTAGCATCTTTTAAATATCTCTAATTTTTACTATGAAATCGAAAATATGTTCTAACCTTAAAATATTGCAGTTCACTAGTTAGTTTTCACTCCATTGTATAAGTGTATGTGAACCTAATAAGTCTGTTTTGTAAATGCTGTAAATAATGCTTGGTTGAGTACCCACTTTAGTCGACACATCATTTTTATCAACTTAACCCTCATTTCCACATAAGAACCTTTTTTATTCGTTTCGTTCTGTCATGTGGTGCACTTTTAGCTTTAAACAAAAATATTTTTAAATAACCCAAAAAATGAGAGAATAATAGAACCGACAGTATTGGGATTCAAAACGTAAAGTAAGTCAAAGTACAGTGATTCGTTTTTCCCAAAATAGCTACACGTGTTCCATATATCAACTGTAGTTAAACTTGCTTGTATTTTTGCCACTTACCTTTCGCTGAATTAATCTGATATGTAATATCCGCATTTGAGTGCAAGCCAAAAACTTCTGGCGTATCATAAGCTGGTAAGCTATTAATATAATCAATAAATCCTTGTAAATTCTTTGTGCTTGGTACTTTATATCCTTTATAAAACTCAAAAGAATTCGTCAACAAAGCCTCACAAAACCAAACAGCTGTAAATGTTGTCAGCAGACGTTTGTCAAAGTCATCAGTTACACGTCCGCCATACTGCACTTCACCAATCATGTATACTAATGTCTGCCAAGAGACACCCTTCTTGGGATCCATTTCATCAAGATGATTTTGTACGAATTGCACGCTAGCAGCAAAATCAGCTTGGTTAAACTCATATGGGACATTCCAACCAAGTGGGCCAAATTTTCGTCTCTCCTGCACTATGGTATGTAAAAAAGCGACAGTGTAAAGCAGCGGTGGCCATTGTGGTGCGGAAGTGTAATCAAGAAAATCTTGAGTGAACGACTGTAAATATCAAATTTGCGCATAAAAACGTTTGCAATGTAAACAAATTTTGACTAACGAGCCATATACCTGATAACTACGCTTCATGCTTGCCCTTATGCCTTGTGGTGGTTCATTCGTAAATTTAATTGCCATTTGCAACAAACCAATTGGAAAATCTGTATGCGGCTCTGTTGTGACCCACATGCGAAATGTTTCATCAATGTGTTCTGTCTCGACTAACATATCAATAATTTCCGCACAAAATGGTAGCGAAAGGTGTACATTTTGTAGCAATACCCAACCACCACCAGCCATTGATTCCAATATCATTTTGCGCGCATGAAATTCCTGACCTTGACCCATTGAAACGCTTTTAAGTGCTGTGTACGAAAGCAGCTTATTAATGGGAATTTTCTGTGGCTGCAAAAGCAAATTAGCTTTAAAATGATTTTTACTTACGTATGGTTTTCTGTTTTGCTAATGCTCCAATTTGCGTGGTAGGATCGGAACCTATAGATAATAAGCAAACAAATGGTGTACGCGGTTCAGATTCAAGCCAAGTAGCTTCAAGATCTAATATTTGCATTTCTCCATATTCTGAGCCAAGTGATTCTGTTTCAGTTAGATGAAAAATGATATTAACAACTGAGTAATTCCTTTAAAAATCTAATATACCCTCAATATAACGTTTAGCCTGCGAAATAGTACGATCTGGACACCATGAACGTATTAATAGTAACTTTCGAAAACCATCTAGAGAGATCTGGTAACCGCAGGGTATTTCTTCACTTTCCGGCTTCTCTGCTTCATACCAAACTCGCCATTCTTTCTCATTTAATTCAATCTAAAATTGTTAACAATAGAAAAAATGAAAGTTAAGTTGAGTTCGTAAATATCTAAAAATCTTACAATATGGTACATATATTATTAACTCAAAATGGTTGTGTTTGCAATATCTCTACAATGTACGAGAGCCTACTTACCATTTCTAGTACATTGGAAAATGTTTCCAATTTACTAATCTCAACTAAATTAAGCCATGTTATATCTAATATCCAGCGAAAAGGTTTTGGTGTAACAGCATTGAGATCCAAGGATGCACCGCCCTTTATAAATGCCATGAACTCCTCATGACTGATGATGCCATTGTGGTAATCAATCTTAATGGCAAGCATCAATGTAAAGAGTTGCTTATGTCGCTCATATAAACTGCGATTGGTAAACTTATATACTTCATAAGTTAAATAACGTAATATAATGTTAATGCGCTCCTCAGTGACACTTGACTTTGTAGATTTTGTAATAGAATTGTTGAATATAACTAAAAACTGTTTTAAAGAGTTCTGGTACATTACATTTACGTTACTCATTTCAACAATTAGAAAATAAAGTATAGAGCCTCTTGCTGCCACTGCACGAAACTCTTCACGTGCTTTCATAATTTTCCTTTCAGTTACTTCAGATATTTTTAACTTCTGGTTTACCTCTTCAGCTGTGGTTTTAGTTACACGCAAAACTTCAATAAGTGCCTCATCATCTACCAGCGAACCCTGTGAGGAACTTAAGCGATACAATAGATTACCTTCCAATTCCTTCATGTTGCGTTGATTTTGCATAACAGTTTCAAAGAGTGCTACACGTTCTGCTTCCAATTCTGATTTCTCCATTAATATAACACGACCTAATAACTGATCTTCTAAACCACGCATAGTAACTGTGAAATCTATAATTGAAGTTTTTGCGCTCACTTCTGGACTGAATGGTGGATTCGGTAATTTTGTTGTTATGTATAGCATAAATCCAGGCATGACATCACATTCCTTATCACCAACCAACACCTTCTCGATACTGCCAGACTTAATAAAATTTTTCTCCAGCACATTATCAATAACGGGATCCAATTCTGTGCCTACATCTTCGATTAATAGTGGACGACCCAATGACAAAGAGTCCTCTAAATGTGTACGGAAATATTTATGATTAAGTGATGTTATTTGTAACTCATTTTGATCCTCTTTTGATTTTATCCAAATTTTGCCTTGTGTTTGTGGATCAATTAAAAGTGGGTAACTACTTGATTTAGTAGCTATCAAAGCATTTTGCACTGATAACTCATCATTTGGTAAGCCCTGCAAAGTCCATTCAGACACTGTCGATGAGTCGACTAACATACTTATTAGATTTAAGCCTGTGGTAAATGGTATGCTTTTGTGCTTAAGTATGCCCATCCAAGTTTTAATCAGATTTGCACGAAACTCTTGATTATATGGACCACAATATGAAAGAAATCCGGTAGCTAATAACACATCACCAACTAGCTTTCCCAGTTGAATTTTAAACTCTTTGCTTTGATTTGTCCAACGATGCTTTTCATCCGAGAGACCATTAATGAGCGCAGTAGCTGCAGTCATCTTACGTAAGCATACATTGGCTGCATCTGTTAAACGCTGCTTTTCACCTACTGCCTCGTCGTACTGATTCTTAACAGCTTGCAGTGCTTCTTCTCGTTCACGTAATTGCTCTTCGGCACCGGCTAGATCGTCCATAGCAAGCTAAGAAGAAATTATTGTGATAATGTTATAAGTTCTATACATTTTTTTATAGAAGTTTATTTAAACAAAATATCTACTCAGATATTAAAAGTATTTGTAAAAATATTAAATATAATAGGTATTACTGAAATTTAATTACTTAATTTAGCTATAAAAATGTTAAAGTATTGCATTATATATTAGAATTAATGTTAAATATCAAAGCTGTAAAAAATATATATAATTGTGTTAAATATATAAGCAGAAAAGTATCATGGTGAATTCATATCAAAAAATTTACTTGTTCCATTTAAATCAGATCTGAAATATATGAAAGCATACATATATAAAGCAAAATAAAGTATTTTAAAAGCAGGCAGATGTACTATTACCATTGCAAATCCATACTTAAGCTATGTCTATATAGTTCGCTAAACTATATAAAAAGTATCAAAAATATATATATCTTTACGATTATGAAAATGGTCACTAAATTTCTACATCAACGTTTTTCCATATCGATTATAAAAATTTTTTGAATTTGTATACAGTGAAAAACGTTGAGTTTTAACTAGTTCTTGTGCCAATGTTTTGCTAAATTCTTGGTTTTAATTTTGTTTCTTATTACCTTCAAACGCGCCTCCTGTAAAGTTAAGTTTGCCTTCAGTGGTAATACTTCTTTGTTAACACTATGAAAGAAAGACATTGCCTTAGTCCATGACAACAGACCAGCAACATCACCACAAACTCTTCTGGCCATATCCATATTATAGTCTTCCATCCGAAAGTAAGGTTGCAAAAGATCGATCATTTCATCATTTATAGTATCCTTTGGGTAGTTTTGCAATTGTAACAAAAATGTGGCGCTAGCCATCATCTAAAAATAAAATTTTTATTCGTTTAAAAAAAACTTAATTAGCTGAAAATACTTGTAATATTTCTACCTTTAATGATTCTTGCCAAGATGGCTTTGGACATGGTGTACCCGAATCTGGTATACAAGGATGCAATTTACGTTTAAACAAAATCAATACGCAGTCCATTATGCGCATAATTAAGTGTGGTGGTCGTCCCAATTTACGCACAGTTGCTATATGTGCTGGTTTGATGGTATTGAGAGCATTTTCTGCTTCTTCAAGAGCTGGCTTAGCTGCTTCTAGTTTTTCTTCGGCTAATGCCTTTTCTTGTGCGATGCAAGCAACCAAAGCTTCAGCCTTATCTTTTACGATAAGCACTTGATTTTTCACAATTTCAGCTTGCATTGCACGTTCAGTTACTTCAACCAACACAGATTCTGCCTTCTTTGAAGCCTCTACTAATTCTTCTTCCATAACAACTAAATCTTTTTTCAATATTTCAACAGAAGCAGAAGCTTCCTTTAGTTTTTCTAAGCCAGTATCCATTTTCTCCACACCATCACCAAGTTCTTTTTGCTGTTGTTGATAGATGCTCTTGTAGCCGGCTATAAAATTTAGATACGATTTTGGTGTTACATGTGTAGCACGCCGGAAACGCTGAAAATATTCAAGCGAAGTTTCTGCAACAATATCTTGTATTGAGCCAAGCGCATTAACTAATTCTTCTTTGACGGTTGGCGTACACTCAATTTCAAAGTCACTCAGAAAGTGTCTTGCAACCGAGACGAGTGCATCCTTCGGCCATGGTTGGAACCAATCGATGGTGCAGCCAGATACTAAAGCCGGGAAGCGTTGCACCCTCGATCGAAATGTTTCACCGACGGGTGAGAAACAAAAGGCCACATGTAAATTGGCAAGCGTACGTGCCAAAAAGAATTCCATCACACTTTCCGGGGTCGCTGTTTTGCGTTGATTTTCACGTTTCATAACAGGTGTGAGTTCTTGTACTATTTCTGCCTGTTCATCGCGTGAGAACAGATTCGATATAACACCTGATGATAATATATTATTCAGGTACTCAAGAAAACCTTCCTCCTTTATATCCATATCAGTGAAAAGGAAAGTTGTACCTTTTCCCTGTACACCACAAGCACGATATAATAATTTTAAATCTTCTAAAAAATTGGCCACATTATAGGAACGTGTTAGTGCAATTTGGAATGTTTTGTAGCCAGCTATAAAAGATGCCAATTTAGTTAATGATTGTTTACCGGATCCACCGACCCCGACAAGCATGACATTTCCCCTCGGATGCCGAATGATTCGGGAAATCTTAACCAAATGCAACATTGCATCTGGGAAGAAAACCAAATCCATCCCAGAGCCACGCACCATTTCATTGAATTGTGCGAGGAACATTACCAGACGCTCGCGGAGTACTTCATGAGAATTAACAGGTTCGTAGACCTTGGGTAGCTCCATATCAGCATCTTCTCCCTCCTCCCCTGTCGGTTCAGGAGCGTCCCGCATAAAGTCCACAAACACTGGATTTGCCATAATCATTTGTAAATGCGCTTCGCTCAGTTCTACGCGCACCAAACATGCCAGCTCAGAGCTAAACCACTCTTTATCCTGAAAAGTTGTAAAACGATCGGCAAATACACGAGTGCACTCATGCTTCCACAACGCCATTAAAACACTCTCAGATGTGATGACTGTCGACAAAGTACCCACCATGCCCTGCCATATGCGCGATAAATCACGCAAACTAAAAACATAATGAAATTTCGCCGGTGTTGGCAATAATTTTTCACGTGTTCGTTGCCACAAAGTACGCGTATGTATAATTAGTTTTTTTACCAGATTACGCACTTCGGGTATGAAACCACGCTTAGCATTATAATGTCCTTCACCAATAACACGAAAGATTTTATCAATAGAGTCATTATCAGGTATGTTACAATTGAAAACACAGAATTGTCGTTTTAAACGTGAAGGTATGTCATTGCGTCCACCACCAGGCAAACCCATAGCAGCAACATATTGCACATCTATAACCGAAGTAAAGTCGCCAGGCTTCTCTAAACTGTAAAACCCTTTCATATCCATTGATTGGCGCACTATTTCATTTGTTATCTGATCGCCCCACTCATTGATTTCGGGCAAGTTAATGTCATCTATAAAAACTATCAACTTACGATTACCAGGCGGACCAAACGTAACTCCAACACGTTTTTCAACATAACTTTCGATAGTGCGCTGAAATTGATATGGGGTAGTAGCTGACGAAAAATTAAATGAACGACCCATATGTGTTTCCGGGCTCATTTTCTTCATAAAATTTTTCATTATCACTGTCTTGCCCGTTCCTTGTTCACCAATCAGCATAACAGAACGCTCACGATTTGCAATTGTACCAACTAAATAATCAATGCGTACATTGTCAACTATTGGTACTAGTATACTCAAATAATCTGGCGTTGAAAGTTCTGGATACATGTAAGGCGTAACCAGTGATTTCCATGGTTGCCAAACACCTGTCGCGGATACGAAGAAATCATATATGGTATTATCACTGCCAACGCTCTTAGCATAATCCAAATTTGGAAACGATTCTTTGATATATTTGTTCATTTTCAAACGATCGGTAGTACTTAAATAGGCACCCATACCCCAAGCAAGCGCAAATATATATAAACGATGTAGTTGTTCGGGAGTGCATGTATCTTCTTTCTCATCTACTGCTTCTTCAGCGACTTCCTCTGTTAAAGAAAAATTTCAAAAATATTAATACGGAAAATGAATGTATATTTAAAAACACACATAGAGTTTACAGAAATTGGACGCGGACTTTGCAAATTAGAAAAGTTAGTTGTAATTAGTAAGTACCACAGCACAGAGACACAAAATTTCAACATATTAAGGAATACAGTCTTATAAAAGCTTACTTGTTTGAACATTTTATGCATTTTACTGGAAGTAATACAACGATAAATATTATTTTAAATATTCTTCAGGTACACACACTTTTTAAAACGTATTACATTTCAATGAATATTCAATTTTGATCAACACAAGTCGAACCTTTCAATCCACTCAATTTTAATTCAAATTTAATTGAAACCAACTTTCATCTACCTTTACCGTTCCTATGAAGAGACTTCACTTTTTAAAAACTATTTCTAGAATCACTTATAGATATATAGATTGCAGTGCATTAAGGTCTTCTTAGAATAATAATAAATGTTTATGTATGTATTTTATACATGCATTTTATTGTATGTTTGTATGTATTGTATTTATTGAGATTTACTATATCTTTGAGATTTACTATATCCAAATTGATATGTAACTGGTTTACTTTCACTTCCGGTAAAAGCTAATCCCCGACACTTATTGGGAATAAGCGTCACTTCTGTATATACGATTACTATTGAAACTAAACCCAAAGCATTTACATCAAATAGACTCAAATTAAAGTAAAATTTAAAATAATAACTATCGTTGTTACTCCCCATATTCGAAGTGTAAATTGTGTCGATGAGTTATTTTTGATAAAAAAATATATAAAAAGGATGTGGAAAATAAAAGGAAGTGTTAGTTTATTTTATCAGCAAGTTGCTAACATATAAAAGCATCAAAGTGTTCATAAAAAGGAAAGTGTTTTGTAAAATTATTGTAAGTTTGTAAGTAGTTGTATTCTCTTTTTGTACTTTACCACCTTCACTGCCAATTGAGTTGCGATGTTCGTCTTTTAATTTATCTTTTTCTTTGCCTTGTTTCGCTGAAATATTAGTTTTTAAAATGTCAACAATATTTAAAGATAAGCGTCCGCACTTCATGACTAAACTGCTTATATTATACAAGCTAATATATATAATACTCAGAAACCGTCGTTCACTTACCATCATTACTTTCCTTGCTAGACATGCTCACAGCCTGTTCATCTTCCTTTTTAACCGGCACTAACCCTTCAAGTATGAAAAGCATTTGTTGCACTATATTACACTGCAGGACCGGCATCAATAATTTTAGATTCTGTGTACCCCAATTATAAACCTGCACGAACGTTTGTTCAAATAGTTCCCAGAAGACAGTCTTCTCTCCAGGCGCACGGTTTTTCAACCAAGCTTGTACAACTTATGTTTGTAATTTTATATTATAATTTAAAAATAATTATTTTTTAGATTCACTTACTTGGTCTAGAATCTAAGCCTGACGAGCTCATGTATACCATACCATTTCGGGATACTGTCGCCGGTGAAGCATTATCTATATTGTGTGGTTCGAATATTATTTTTACAGTTGGTGCCATTGTCAAACGATCACCATTAGCTAATGTCAACGTCTTATTATCATCAAGTACTGAATTCAAATTCTCTATCCAAATACTATCAACTGGACCATCTAATACAAGCCAGACATGCTCACCACTCTTCAATTTTAAAGTTTTGCGCCAAAGTGCTGAAAATATGCCATCAGTCCAATCATTTGTAGCCACATCCAAACGGCCAAACATTTGTGCTGCAGTTATGGCTTTTGGATTCATTCGCATCTCACGATGATTATCACCCATTTGTGTCAGTGCTTTCATGAGTGTGTGAATGCAAGTAGTTTTACCCGCACCACTTGGACCTAATGTCATTATGCCATGCCGAACAGTTTGAGTCTCATATAATTGTATCAGCTTAAGAACCCACGGAGGATGATAGACTAAACTAGCCTCTTCTGCTTGTTGTGCAATGGCAGCCTCCAGTTCGGGATAGTTAGTCTTTTCAAGGGTCTATACGTTTTACGTGAGAGTTAAATGTAAAAATTTTAATGACTTTTTAATAACTTTTAAAAAAAATGAAAATTGTCATATTTATATAAACCGATATTAATTTTAAATGGTTTAAACCTGATACAATTTTTATTATATATCTAGTATTATAAGTTTTAGATATCTTTATACATAAGATGCATACTCAAAATAATAAAATTTGCATAAAATTTGCATTTCTCTGTATGATCTCACAAACCTGATTGGGAAACAAATCCGAAACCAACGATATGAATAACGGCTCATCCTCATCTATTAGTTTTGATAAATTCATATCGCGTAGGACTCGCATCACAATCGTACTCTCGCTATCCTTTGAGTTCCTCCGCTTTGCTGCACCCAATGTCCGTAGCACAGACAATATATTTCTGAGACCAAAATCATAATGCACCTGCTTTGTCAGCTGCTCTTCGCACAGCTTGTATAAAGTGTAAAATTTACGTGCCAATGTTATATTTTCAAGGAAACCACATGACGCCAACTTGACACGTATAATAATTTGTCTGTCCGGCACCATCATAGCAACTGTGCGGAACTGTATCTTTAAATTCTCTGGTAATTCCTTGCGACCCGCATAACCAGGATTCTAGCGCAAAAACATGTAAAAAGAATTGCACTGCACTTAAATTTCACCAAAAAATTTTATGTGCATTCAAAGATTGTTTATATATTTTTTTTTTAAAAACAAAAATAAAGTGTAAAAATTGTCAGCATTAACTTAAATTTCACGTTTCATGAGTTATGACTGTGTCAAAATAAATCTCTTGACTCGCAGACAAAAAGTGATGTGAATGCAGCAGATTGTGACTGACAAAAGTATTGAGTGTGTTTATTTTGAGCAGAACATTCAGTATTTTTTTTTTTTGATTATAAACAAAATTGTTTGTTAACGTTTCATGAAGTAATGTGAGTCTTGTATCTCAGTTAAAACATTACATGAAATATTAAATCAAAAATAATCCAAACGTATGTGATATTTAAAGAATTTGTGACATTACTTCAGTTAAGTGTTTAGAAATGACACATTGCATATGACTTTTCATACATAAAATAGATAGTGGGTTTGAAAAAAGATTCCTTATCATCATTTATAAGTGTCTGGAGTATAAAAATCAAAAAAATTAAACGACGAGATTTTTAAAATTTCGTTCAGTAATATTTTATCAAGATCGGTACTATGGGTGTCCAATTTTTAATCTCTGGCTTCTCAGTCATAGGCTAACTACAAAACTAAGCGATCTCTTGTGGATAATTAGATGTTTGAATTAGATACAACGGAAAACAAACCCAGCTTACATAAGTCCCAGCTAGCAACATTAAATAATTGAGGGTTTGAAAAAAGATTCCTTTTCATCATTTATAAGAGTCTGGAGTATAAAAATCAAAAAAATTCAACTACAAGATTTTTAAAATTTCGTTCAGTAATATTTTATCAAGATCGGTACTATGGGTGTTCAATTTTTAATCTCTGGCTTCTCAGTCATAGGCTAACTACAAAACTAAGCGATCTCTTGTGGATAATTAGATGTTTGAATTAGATACAACGGAAAACAAACCCAGCTTACATAAGTCCCAGCTAGCAACATTAAATAATTGAGGGTTTGAAAAAAGATTCCTTTTCATCATTTATAAGTGTCTGGAGTATAAAAATCAAAAAAATTCAACGACGAGATTTTTAAAATTTCGTTCAGTAATATTTTATCAAGATCGGTACTATGGGTGTTCAATTTTTAATCTCTGGCTTCTCAGTCATAGGCTAACTACAAAACTAAGCGATCTCTTGTGGATAATTAGATGTTTGAATTAGATACAACGGAAAACAAACCCAGCTTACATAAGTCCCAGCTAGCAACATTAAATAAATGAGTTAATAAAGGACTCCCTTTCGAAAAAAAATTCTTTGAAAAACCGTTGTACATATAAATATAAATATGTTCCAACAAATTTGAAAGCATATATATTATGTATAAATGTATATAGAAGTATAGTTGTTGGCAGTTGAAATATTAATACAACTGTTTACTCCCATCGGTATTGAGTACTATCGACTTAGCTGCTTATACAGCATTATCGAGTATCTTGCGATATACCATTATGATAAATGTAGCCATCCTTTTAAGTCTAACATTATTTTGCCTTACTTCGAATGTTTATATTGAAAAATTTTTATGAATAAAAATATATTGTTTTGCTGCATAGTACCAACAAACAAAAATAAAATGTAACAACCACGTTTCAATATTACATACATATACCAGTATATAGTCAACCTATAAACCACTTTTTATTTTATTTATTGTATATATTAACTCCAGATTTCTTATATTCGACGGTTATTCGTATTCATTAATGGATTAATATAACTACAAAATAATTGTTTGTGGTTGGTGTGGTTTTAATTGGTAGTAAAACATTAATTTTAAGAGTTCACCCATTTACACGAACTCTATTGAAACAAGAACTACTTGACATAATGCCCTATTTCTCTTATTTCATAAAAGATGAAATATATAACAAACTGTTTTATTAGGTAAATTATTTTTATATATCAAAGTATTTAGGTAATTCACAAATTAGCTTAAAATACTCAACTTCCACTCCGCATTTCCACACAAATTACAGTTTATAAAAACATTGACAACTACAAAATATGATTATTTGAACCACTTAATATCAATTCTATAACTATTCAATATATAAACTAAATATCACAGCAATATGCTTTAAAGAAGTAACAGAATTTTTCTATACTTCTATAGTAGAATGAACACGACAACCAAAATACTTGTTCAAGACGAATGAGCCCATGCAATCAAAACAATATCACTTTGTTCAATAGGACAACTTCATGGTCTCCCCAATAAACTTTTTTCAAAATATGCTAAACAAAAATTTGTTTTGATAAAAATACCTTTAGCAAAGATATAGTACCGAGAAACCACAAGAAGTAACAGAATTTCACAGCCTTTTAAAACTAAACATGAATTTTCTCTAAATAAAGTACAGTCTAAACTCTCTATAACGAACCTCTCTATAACGAATTTCTCTCTATAACGAAGTTTTGTTGAAGACACAGCGATTTTCATATATTTGAATTTCTCTATAGCGAATCTCTTTACAACGAACCTCTCTATAGCTAAGACCTCATTATAACGAAGTTTTTTGTAGGCATCAACGACTTCGTTATAGAGAGGTTTGACTGTATATTTAAATATCGAATATTGCATCTAATGATAGCCCACTCATAAAGTGAACAGATATATAAATATTTAGAAATGATATTAAATTTAAAACTGGTGTTGCGAAAAAATCATCTTTTGCAAATAAAACTTCATACATCTAAACTTCTATAAAAAAAAGTCTCTTACTTCTAGTGAAAAATGGATCTAGTGAAAAAGAATCATGAACGTGATCACAAATAAAACAATAAAAAACTGTTTAAAAAATATTATTCCTTTGATATATAAATGTGTTTTTAGAAGTTTTTGCCTATTATATATACATTTTCTTATCTTCCGGAGTTCTTGGTAAGCATCATCATTCAACGAGGTTATTGAAAAAAAAAAAAAAACAAAATATTATTCTTATATTAATATAAAAAAAGGAATATTAATATATTAAGTTTCGTTGACGAAAGTGCAGCGAATTCCTTTGTGATTGATATGAATCATTGAGTATACACCAAATATATAGGACGATTCATTGTTAATATTTCCTAATTTCGAATTAGGTAATTAAGTATTTTAGCCCCTAGTGATACCGTATGGACAGTAGAAAATATGCTAGAGGAACCCATTTATGAAGACACGAAACGAGCAATAGAGAAGTTAAAAAACTTTAAATCGTGTGAAGAAGATTCTATAAACGCTGAACTGATAAAATACGCCGGAGAAGAACTTCACAAACAGACACATGAATTACTACTTCAAAATTTGGAGAACAGAAAAAATGCCAGAAGAGTGGTATACAAGTTTAGTAGTTCCTATATATAAAAAATACAACAAAACGAGCTGTCCTAACTACAGAGGTATTTTTCTTCTTAATGTTTGCTATAAAATATTCTCGAACATATTGTATGAAAAACTAAACATGTACGCAGAAGAAATACTGGGAGATTATCAATGTGGTCTTAAAACCGGTCGCTCAACAACAGACCAATGCTTCGTTATGTCACAGATTTTCGAGAAGTGTTATGAGTTCAACATTAACATACATTGTTTATTTATAGACCTTAAACAAGCATTCGATAAGCTCAACAGAAACTACATTGATTACTATCTAAGAAAACTTAATTAGTATGACTGTAATGCATGCAAACGCTAAAATAATCCTGAATGGTCAACTTTCAGACTAATTTGAAACCAAATCTGGTGTACGTCAAAGTGATTCTCTATCGACGCTTCTGTTCAATCTGACCCTATGTTACATGCAGCTATCAACGAAATAGATCAAGGAGGTACAATATTTTATAAATCTACACTAATATGCTCCTATGCTGACGATATTGTCATTATTGCAAGAAACAAGGAGTATCTTCAAAGCATTTTCATACAACTAGAACAAACTACAAAGCAAATAGGCCTCAGAATAAACGAAGAAAAAACTAAATACATGACAAAATTTCCCCAAGATAGTCACATCAGAATAAGCAGTCACAATTTCGAGTCTATAAACGAGTTTAAATATGTAGGCGTAATTCTCAGCACAAGTAAAGGTGCGACTCTTGCAATGCAAGATCGATTTCAAACAGCTAACGGTGCATATTTTGCCCATATCAAGCTTATGAAATCAACGTTACTATCAAAGGAACAAAAGTTGCGCATATATAAAACTATCATTACCTACGGCTGCGAAACATGGGTTCTTAAATCCAGCGACAACAACCTGCTACTGAGATTCGAAAGAAAAATACTCTGGAAAAGATTTGGCCCGGTGTATATCGTATACGGTATAACGACGAATTAAATGTCTTGAAAGAAGGCCGCACTATAATATGATACATAAAAGCCCAAAGATTGCGCTGGTATGGACACGCCCTACGAATGAGTAACGAAAGCATGACTAAGAAAATTTTCGAGACTTTGTCTCGAGTAGAAAAAGAGAACGACCGCAACGAAAATGGTTACAAGCAGTAGCGTCGCTAGGCGTCAGCGATGTCGGCAACTGCCGACGGCCTCGCGCCCACAGGGGCCTCGCAAAAAGTTACCGACTGTGGATTCTAAGCACTTAATAAATATTTTGAACAATTTGTTTTGATAATAGCATTAACCATATTCGAAGTATTCCCGAATGTTTATATAGTAACCAGATTCATGTTCACAGTTCCTGTCAATATAGCTTCGACGGAAAGAAGTTTCTCAAAGTTAAAATTGATTAAGACGTACTAGAAAAGTATGATGATCCAAGAGAAACTATCTCCATTGGAAATTATATAAACTGAAGCCAAAATAGCAGCTGGCGCCAATTATGATATAACTTAAAAAAAATTGAGTGAGGCTAAAAGTAGGAAAATTCATTTATTTTAATTTGTGTTTATTTTAATTTGATTAGCAATAAAACTTTCAATCATTCTCTATCGTATTAGTG